AAGCTTTAAATGTATATATAAAAAATATGTTATTATTAATAATAAACTCATTTGATTTAACAATCGTCTTACTTAATGCATCTCCTGTATTCATATTTTCCCTATACGTGAGTTTAAAATTTGAGAAAAATATTATTGTATTTATTTTATGAATATTTCTTTAAAAACTCTTTCAAGAATGTTTAATTTTACTGATAATAAACCAATTAGTTTGTAATGATTAAGATTACTTTCACGTCCTCCTTTAAATTTTGGTATAATGACAGCATGCTTTAAAATATAAGGATACATCATTCGTTTTGCCATTAAATATGTTATTATCAGTGTTAATTTATGAATATCATGTTTTAAAATGTCAAATGTAATTTTACCTTTTCTTGCAACTTTTATACTTTTCAAAGCATTTATTATTGTTATCATAATTTTGTATTCATCAGTTAGTGTTAAATACATTGAATTTATAGTTATATAATTTCTTATTGTATTTTTTCTAATTGATCTAGATTAAATCAGTTAGAGCTATAATTTTCTTTGCAATATATATGAATAATGTATTAAACGGATAACTGGAACTGTTCATTAAAATAAATATTCCTATTACATACTGAAATACTTTCAAATTTTGGGATTTCTACCAGTAACCACAGCAATTATATCCCAACGGTTTTAATATTAGTTTTATTGTCAAGTATGTTTTTCCTTATAGCAGTTTATTCTTATTTGTGTTATAAGACTACTTAGATCATTTCTATAGTTTTTAAATTCAATTAATTCGATATAATTTGGTGGTTTATTTTTCCTATTTTGATATACGTTTCTATTCTAAGTTGAGTAGATTTTAGTAATCCATTAGTCATCCTTGATTTTAGTGTTCATTCCTCTATTTATTTTTACGTATCTTATAGATCACTTAATTATATTTTCTATTATTGTAACAACATATATTATGCATTTCATATATTTAAAACCTTGGTAAGTACTAAAATAAGTTTGTTTTATTAATACTTTTATAACCTGTTTTTGGCATTTCTCTATTAGTTAATGTATCAAATATACATAAATTTTATTTTTTCTGGTTAATTTAAACCTTGTAGTCATATAATAAGTAATTTTAGTTTTATAACTACTGTTTGAATTCATTTCAATTTATATGTTCTAGTGACAATTTGACTCAGACATGGAGTTGCCTATTCTCTAGTAGTATAATGAATAAAGAAATAAAACCCAAAATCAGTTAACATATTTATGTGTTATTTTACGATATTATCTCCAAAATTGATATTTATGTCTCGTACAATATCAAATTTTTCTTCTTTTTTTCGATCAAAAATTTGTTGTGTGACATGTTTGTATCCTGTATATTTATGTGGTCTATTAAGTACTACCATATTGAATCTGTTCATTTTATACATATAATGTAAACCTACTACTTCAGCTGCGTCAAATTTTCTATTTACTTCTTGTACTCTTATTTTATTACTTACAAAGACTATTATACCTCCAGAGTAAACAGATTTATTGTAATCTCTACCTTTTTAGTATTTTTTATCCTTGTATATTAAACAAAGTTTAATTCCTCATTTCTCCCCACATTTCCGTAAGTACTATAACATGTACTTTCTGTGGAATGTTTAATCTATCACCATCTCCAAACCTATTTGACATTATTTAAAATCTTATTCAATTCTAATTCTTATTACCTTTTCATTTTCCTGTTTTCTCAGAAGCAATTTTTCGTTCGTTAAACCAACTATCGTTTTTAATCATTATTTCTAGTAGTGTTTTTCGTTTAAAAGAATTATCTTTTTCAGTTCTGTACAAGTTCTTTTATAAATATAGTACCTTCTTTAAAATTCTCATTCATGTCAGCCGTTTTAATTACTTTCTTTGCTCCTTGTTAAAACCAGTTATTTCAGTTGTAGATTCACAGATTACTCTGTAATTGGTCTATTTTCTTTCTTGATGTTCCTTTGTGTACTACACGTACAATTTTAATATCTTCGTCCTTTATGTTACTATTCCAGTTTTGCGACCTCAATGTTGGATGTACAAGACTGTTGAGTTTAAAAGTTATTATTTATTTTATTTAGTGATTTAATATTTAATGATTATTTAGTTTTCATAACAAAAGTGTTAAAATTGCATTATTTTAAAAGTGATAGTTATGACAAGTTCGTTACATAACACTGTACGAGTCGTACAGAGTATATGCAGTTTAATTGCTGTACTAGGCTTTTGAAATATTGTTAACGTCATCTTACTCGAAGCTTCTAAGTTTTTCTCGTTATGTTTAATATTATTGTTACTAGAGAGCTAGATATTTCCAAATTTTTCTGTCGCGTGTTATAAATGCATGCAAACACAGATTGCAAAAAGAAGTTAGTAAACGTTAAGTTTGTGAAAAGAAAGTTAAGTTAGTGAAAGGAAAAGTGAAAACGTGAAGTTATACTGCGTGATTGTCAGTTTCGCCGTAACGGGCAATACCTAAAGTGAGTTTCACAGTTTGTATTGTAACAACAAAGATAGAGAAGAAGAATTTTTAATTCTTTAAGCCAAGGTAATTCAATCTTTTACTTAAAGAAGGTCGGACTGTATAGAATAAAAACATTGGAAGGCCATAACGTCTAATAAGTTACTTATTAGCATATCTTTTCTATTATAATTAAATTATGACTACTATTTTAATGCATAAACCTGAAATTTAATATGTGATAAATAATGAGCGCCGACAGATGGACCACATTGTTCTCTGTACCATTACAGCTGCTAATACTCTCAGTATCTATTTTCCATATCAGATTGTGAACTAAAGTTGTATGAAGCTTAGTATGAGAACTAGCTGAGACACATGTTGTACGCACAGAAAAGCAAAAACTATATGACTTTTAAATCTTCAATCAATGAGAGAACTTAGCTTACTTTGCGAATGCATAAAGTTACAAATCAAGTGGAATTAGAAAAGTTATATATAAAGTTTCGAGAAACATGTTATCCCAAGCGCTTTCGGTAGATACATTTTCCTTTTTAAGGGGTGGGATGAACATTAGTTGAAATATAATGACATATGGAAGTTAGCTAAGTCATCTGCATACATGTCATGGATACGTGTGATAACACATGGCATAATTTAGGTTGTATTTAGAATGGAAAGGTACAGAGGTGACAGTTATTTCCAACGTAAAAAAATATGGTAGAATTGGGGATATGCAAATAGAGAAAAAAAAACTAGTAAAGAAAAGCATTTATTGTGTTTTAGTGGTGTAAGTCCGTAAACTTACCGTTGACCTACAGGGGGAACTGCTAATGAGAAAGAAAAAATGGTGAATATTTGTGAAAAATTAAAACAAATAAAATTAAAGTTTGTTTTAATATTACGCGCAAAGCTATGTAAAGACTATTTGTGCATAGCCCTCCCTAATTTTGAGCTCATAGATCAGAGAGAAGACAAAAAAATCAACATCACCTACCGTCAACTCTTGTCTGATCGAATAGTGGGATTTGACCGTCACTCTTATGACGCCTGCATAGCCCTAATGTCCGGGCACAATAGATAAATATATACAAATAAAATGAATTTCAAAAGTAATGTGTGAACTATTGATTACAGTAACCAAACAAACAAACAAAAAACGACAGATAAAGAGGTAATGCTAACAAGAATTCGAAAGGCCTAGTCAATTAAAAATAACAAATACTTAAAAAAACTGAAATATCGCATAAATAAACAGGAGTGGCTTGATGTACATTCCATATAAGTGAAGTAAAAAAAAATATTTTTACTGAAAAAGAATAAGTCAAAGGTCAAATATCACTAACTCCAGAATGATGAGTATTCTGAATGGCAATTCAATAGGCTTTTGTCATTTTTTAACTCAGTTTTGATACGTTATAGAACCATATTGTTGATCGAATTATCAGGCTGGATGAAATAATGAGCAACAGGAAGGTCTTTTTTTTTGTTAATAGGACATTTATAGGTGTAATTTAAGGTCTTTTGAGTATAATCTCGCTAGTGATTTGTTTTAGTATTTGTTGGAGAGGTGTATGGACTTCTCAAATACTTGCATTTCTGACTACGAACTTTTTTTACAAGGGCAACAGCCATTCTGTGGTAGAGTAATGAACTTTAGCATGAGCAATGATATCTTTGAGACAATGGCTCTTAAAAGGAAATGACATGAATTTCAGGAAAGCTTTAAAAAAGCAGTTATTAGATTGGAGAAAGTATAACTTTTTTATAGAATGCATACGATGTTCTCGAGATTAGTATGATATGTTACAAAAGGAATTCTGATTGATTCTTTGATGAAAGGGAACGAAGGAAATCCTGTTCTGATTTGTTTGTTTGAAGAATTTTACTCAAAGCTAATTTGAGGCTACCTGCGCTAGTCGTCCTAATTTTGAATTGATAAACTAGAAAAAAGACAGCAAGTCAACACCACCACCGCCAAATCTTGGGCTACTCTTTACCAACGAATAGTGAGATTGGCCGTCGCATTATAACGCTCATTCGGCTAAAATTTCGAGCATGTTCGACGATTGTTTTTGATTCTGTGACACACACAAGTTGCTTCCTAGTCGAGTGCTGTAATCACCAAACCAATCCTCTTTGATTCTTTGACGTGCAGTAACAGCAAAATTATGTGTTGATTTTTTTCAATATAATATAAAGAAAATTCTGTTTCTTTCTTTGGTGTGAGGTAACAAAACTCAATTCTTGTACATACGAGAGAAGACCTTTATGTTTTTATTTTTCACCTTGCGGTGCAGGACTTTCATAAGATTTTCATTATCTATCAAAGCATATTCATACTTTAAATCCGAGAAAATAAAACTACAATAAAGAGATAATTATAGTAGATTCCTATAATATGTAAAATATGTACTGCCACTTATAAATCTTCTTCATATACCCTAATACCTCTTCTTGACTGTTTAAGGTATGTAGAATTCATATGTCTATGTCTTTTTATTCGCAAATAAAGAACAACTTTCAGTAGTGAATGAGACGTCTACTTCTTTTTAATGAGCAATAAACCAACACATTATACATACATCTTGGTGAACACTAAACATCATATTTAAACTGATTTTATATTAAATTGAACATAATCTGTCATACATTCATACTTACACTCCTACATCGAATAAGATAACACTCGAGTCCAAGCAATTATGCCATGAGTAAAATGTGGATAAAGTGTGCAGTGAATAATTAATCCTTCGAACATGACAAATTAAATCATGAAGTTGTGCTACCCTGTAGAGTTCCGTACAAACTAGCAATTTGTGTTATTAAGACCCACCGAACTGTTTTTAAATCACTGTTTATCTTACCACTACCTCATGAGCCCAAAATGGCCGCCACAATGTTTTCTTCGGATTTTACGTTCCGTAATTTGAAGAGATGGTTAAAATAATGAGAAAAAACAAAACACTTTCTATTATAAGTGCGACTAAAACTTCCAATTAGTGGGCTGTCTGTCAGTGGAGGCGTATGCTGTTTGCATGACGCACAACCTTCTCTTAATTCTCGAGTGATAGGTCACAAAGAAAAAAATTAAGTTGCATGTAAATCCATAATGTGTTGTCCTGTAGCATCATACGGAGACGTCTGTGGAGGCAACCCTGGGTGTCCCATCGGCGCATGCGCCATCATCATAGGGTGTGGGTGACCCGGCAGCAGCATGGATTGGGAATGGACCGAAGATCTCAGCTGAGACATTTGAGAATAGCCCATCATACCGCCCATGTGACCCATGCCCATAGTTGGTTCTGTACACGACAAATTTTGCATACCTACAAAGCACCAGATCAACGAATTAGATCTAGGTAAATTATATATCTACGTAAAAACATTTGTGCTGCTTAAAATCTATAAATAAGTAATATCATATCAATACATAGGGAAGGATTGCGTTAATTCAACAGCTTCATTATAATTAAAATAGAAAATCATTTAAAAAATCGTTATATACATTTATAATTGAAAATGAATAACTCATCAAATTTATCAGCGTGAAATGAAATGAATCACACAGTGTAAAGTATTAAGTGTACCATGAAAATAACAATTACTGGCACTAAAGGTTCTCAGCGCCCTCTAGTGTTCAGCTGATCTTCTTACTACTAATAAGACCGTTTTCAAACATCCCACTCTACAACGAACATTTTCAATCATTTAAATAAAAGTGTATAATATGTATAAGGCTATTTGATAGTAGTTTTTATTTTAAAATAATTATTCGACATCCTTATTTAAAACTCCTCTACTTTTAACTTTTTCTTAGAAATTTTGCTCTCGTGTTTAAAATTATATTGGTATCGCAAGCACTCTATAGGAGAATCAGAATTATATTATTTCTAAAGTGCAAACACTGCTTCTTCATTTAGATGTTATTTACATTACAAAATTACTTATAGCAATACTAAATATCATTACAAAACTCTATAAATTATAACTTATCCAGGGTTTACTAGTTACTACCATATATATAAGGTCTATCACACTTCTTTTGTCATGTTCAGGGTTTTATTACCAACACAATTATATCTTTTTCTAGAATGCACGAAAGCGAAATTAACTATTTTTTATTGAATAGGTAAATGTATTACTATTTTCATTTTTTAAAAGTTGAACAGCAAGAGCTAAATGCTGTAGATAAGTTCACTTTAATCTTGAGTGTATATCTTCATTTAACCACATAAAAAAGTGTGTACATGTCCGCTAAGTGAGGGGCTACTCTTCTTGTTAGTTTTACCAAAGTGATTTAAAATTCGAACACTTATAATTCGATTTCACGTTTTTGAAAGCGTAAATAACAAAGCAGTGAGAAAAGAATTATGAAACACCTCTAAGTTGCTCAGATACAAATAAAACAAAAGATATATGTTTGATAAGCTTCAGCGACTTCTTACCTGGAGGTCTCATGTGCATCTGTTGACTTCCATCCATCATGTATCCCATGCCAGCGCCGTCTGGACTGTAAGCTGAACTAGGAGTGCTTATAGTTCCTCCTAAAAAGATTAAAAAATTAATATAGCATTTATCAAAAACGTGGACTTACTTTAAAATATTCAGTCACATGAAACATTCAATGTAAATTCCTTGTTGAGAGATTTAAATTATTTTTTCTTACTAATGTCTTTAGTTTAAGTAGGACTGAATATGTTAATTTTTTACCTATAGAAAACGTTTTCATTGGCTTTTAAAAGCATATTGAGAAATATTATAGTTTTCAACGTTTAAAATTCATCTCGATTACATTACGCTAACTTGCTGCAGTTTTTTTTAGAAAAATCATTAAATGATATCCCCAATGATTCATCTTCTCACTCTATCTTTTCGCCACTAGAGCAGAATTTTGATCCTTTCGTTACCGATCATTGAACACGCTGCTCTTAGTCCTCACCATGAATAACCCAAAGTAACCTCCACAAATATCGATCGAAAACAAAACAAAAACTTGTTCACATGCCAGGGAGCACTAAGTTCCACTGTTTTAGAAAACTTTTCTCGCTGACGTTAGGGAAATGAACCAAGGGACTTGACGATAGTCGATGTGGAACCTTAATGAGGGACGCCATTTCCTGATTTGGTATAACATGTATGTGGCTCAAGCTTTCGGCATAATTTTTTATTCTAATCTGCCCTGAGGAAAACATATGAATATATCATCAATCACTGACTGTCAATTTTCGATAAAAATCCTCCATGTCAGAAGAGTGGATTGACTCCAGATGCACAAAGACTTGCTGGCAAAAAAGCTCTATCAGTACACTCAGCTCTACCACATGCTTTTAACGTTAGCGTTCGGTAATAAAGGTCCTCCTGTATCGCTTCAATGATGGATGGGATTTCTACTTAATGATAACGACGGTATAATGCCATATATATACTAACTAGTAGGACTTTCAGCCTTTTCTATCCTTCTCTCTTCGTTCTATTTCAATCGCTTACTTAATCTCCAGTAAAAACTGTTTTATGTTGCGATAACATCGTCTGTAAGTGCTTACACAAAAGACTGCATTTAAAGCATGAGGCTCATAGATCAATACACTTCAATATTAGCAAAATATTAAAATCAAACTATATTTGAATTTGATCTTAAAATGTGCGAGTTTATACGTTTTTTATTGCAGACTTAGATTCGTGTTTAATTTTTGAAACTTTACACTCACGACTTACAAGGCTTTCAAGCGAACTGACGGCTAACTCAAAAATTATTTGAAAAATTAAATCTTTAAGGCTTAGTAAAAAATGCTTTACATCTGCGGACTTACACTGCTAGAAACCGTGTTTCGATACCCGTGGTGGGCAGAGCACAGAATAGCCCTTTGTGTAGCTTTGGGCTTAACTTCAAACAAACTTATTTAACATCAATTTTATTTCTCTCTCTCTCTCTCTCTCATTTTTCCCCCAGTGTCACTGCGGTATGTCTGCAGACTTACAACGCTAAAAATCGGATTTCGATACCCGTGGTGGGCAGAGCACAGGTAGCCCATCGTGTAGCTCTGTGTTTAATTACAAATAAACCCCCTCTTTCTCTTTTTTAGCTACACAGAGGGATATTCTTATATTATTTTACTCCTGTACTATTCTGAATATCTGTATTCTGTTTGGAGTTAGACAACTAAAGTGATAGAAATATATTGCATAACAGTTAAATGAATGAACAGACAAACCATAAATAAATAAATACATATGTAATTAGACAGACAAACAAACATAGAGTGACGTATCGGAAAAGAGAAAGAGATCCACAATACTATAAAAATAGACAGACAAGAAAAGTACAAATTTAGTTAGACAAACAGATGGGGTTGGTAAAAAAGAAGACATTTCAAAAGTTTCCTTGAAAATACATACATACATACGTCTAACCGACGTTCCCTATCATCAACAGACATTCATTTTCTAGAGGAAAAGAAATGGTCCAAAGTGTCCAGTAGACTAAAGAGGAAGAGTCGTTGCTGACCATCAAGTCAAGCCCAGGAGGACAAGCAATCTGTCACGGCCAGAAAACGAACTATTATCATTTGTCAAACTCCGGGGGGTCAAAGCTGTGATAGACCAGAACTGTTGGTTTGTTCTGAAGATCAAAAGCCACATTTTTCAGCTCTTATGAAAATGACTAATGCGTGTCCAAAGTCACAGACGTGTGAATTCAATAGCTAGTTGAAAAAAAATCTAACTGGAACTGAAGTTTGCCGTGAGAACTGTTGAAACACGGTGTACACACACACACACAAAAGGGTAATTGAACAAACAGTATTCGTTTGAAGTAATTGCTTGAAACACTTATTAATTGCCTGAAAACTTAAACTTGTCCTTCTGGTGATGTCACATAGATCATTGAAACCGACCTTTATTTTCATTTTCAACATATACTTGTACTATTATTTGAATCTTGAATAGTCAGAATAATATTTTTTCTAGTAAAACGTTTCCGTTAAATTTTCCTTGTTGCTATTTTTTTTCTATGGATTTTAACTGCAGTAAGAGGTGCAAAAGTAACAGGCACATCTCCCCGCCTTCTTAACTATAACGCCTCCCAGTGGCACAGCGATATGTCTGCGGACTTACAACACTAGAAACCGGGTTTCG